TACTTGCAGTGGCAGGTCAGTTTTGTTCATTATTTTTTTTTATCGTGTTAGTTTTGGTGCATATTCAGTGGTACCAACACCAAAATACTTGCAGTGACGAGTCAGTAGTGATTATTGGTGTTCTAATCGTGTGGGTTATTGTGCATATTCTATGATAACCTTATCCTTATCATCCTAATAACAAATCAGTTGCCTGCATTGTTTTTCTGATCATGTGGGATATAGTGCATTTTTATGGTTGTCTACATCAATGGATTTGAAGTTGCAAGTCAGATCTATTCATTGGTTTTCTGATCGAGTTTTAGTGCTTACTCAGCGATGCCCACATTCATGGATTTACAGTGGCAATCCATTTTACCATTGATGCCTTTGGTGTTGCTCTCACAGCACAACCCTGAGTTACACATATGTATATGCATAATCAGAAATTATTCCTTTGGAGAACGTTTAGATATCTCGCATGTTCAATTCGGAATTAGACCTTTATATATTTTTTTCATTCTATCATTGTAAACAAGGTCTGCCTAGCGCATAAATAATGAATGTCAAAGAATGCGTCTATTAACTTTAAAATCATTGATTACAAAAAATAAAGCTTTCAAGTAAACATAATTCCCCAACTTGGATAATATTTGGTCTTCTTAATCGTAAATCAGAGGACTAATAACTTTTAGGAATGATCAAACTTATTTACCTTTCCATTGCCTCAATCTTGTCATCCTTTCTTATTGTTTTGACTTTTATTGAACGAGACAAATTTATACTTGACATGACCAACACAAAAGATGGAAATAGCGAAGCAGGAACTGCTTACCATTTCGGAGCACCTTGGTATAATCAATAAATGTGTTTGTGATGCATTTGCATTTGTTATTTCTGTTTCGTTTTGCGATAATTTTCTTTCAGTGTCTTTGTCTATTATTGATGTTTGCCTTGTTTATCTCTTTTCCTGAAAAAACTCTTCGAAACAAGAATTTGTGAAGTTTTAAGTTTACGGAGTTTCATGTACTGCTGGTTTATGAATTTGTTTAGATAACAGACCTTTATTAATCGGCTCAAGTATGATGCTTTACAAATAACAATGAATTACCATAATAATTAACTTATTATTTGGGAATCAAGAGATATTGACTCTCCCTTCTGGAACAACTTTGGTTACCGAATTTGTACTTACATGATCAACACGACGGGTATGTGGAGCAAGAACTGCTTATCTTTCCAAAGCAACTGAGATCACCTCGTGTTTGGTGGGGTTAGTGTTGTTCAGTCTTTAGTTTTCTATGTTCTGTTTTGTAGACTGTCTTTTGGTCTTTTTTCCGTTTTATTGGCGTCGAGTTGACAGCTTTTCCTCCTCTCTTTTATCCAATTTTGTGGGATTCATGTTGCTCAATCAAGATGTTGTTTTTTTATACGACCGCAAAAAAATTTTGTGGTCGTATATTGGTATGACGTTGGCGTCGTCGTCGTCGTCGTCCGGCGTCGTCCGAAGACACATTGGTTTTCGCACTCTAACTTTAGTTTAAGTGAATGGATCTCTATGAAATTTTACAAAGTTCAATACCACAAAAGGAAGGTTGGGATTGATTTTGGGGGTTATGGTACCAACAGTAAAGGAATTAGGGGCCAAAAAGGGGCCAAAAATAAGCATTTTTGTAACTTCCAGACATAACTTGTGTGATAGTGTATGGATCTCTCTGACATTGTACCACAAGGTTCCATATCACAAAAGGAATGCTGGTATTGATTTTGCCTCAAAATTTTAGGAATTAGGGGCAAAAAAAGGGGAAAAAAACAAGCATTTTTCTAGTTTCATGACAATAACTTGTGTGTAAGTGTATGGATCTTTCTGAAATTGTACTAATAGGTTCCATATCACAAAGGGAAAGCTGGAATTGAATTTGGGGGTAATTGCCGAAACATTTCGGAATTGGGGGCCAAAAATAAGCATTTTTCTAGTTTCCAGACAATAACTTGTGTTCAAGTGTATGGATCTCTCTGAAATTGTACTGCAAGGTACCATACCACAAAGGGAAGGCTGGGATTGATGATGGGGGTAATTGCCTCAATATTTTAGGAATTAGGGGCCAAAAAGGGGCAAAAAACAAGCATTTTTCTAGTTTCATGACAATAACTTGTGTGTAAGTGTATGGATCTTTCTGAAATTGTACTACAAGGTTCCATATCACAAAGGGAAAGCTGGGTTTGAGTTTGGGGGTAATTACCCAAAACGTTTAGGAATTTGGGGCCAAAAAGGGGCCAAAAACACATTTTTCTAGTTTCCAGACAATAACTTGTGTTCAAGTGTATGGTTCTCTCTGAAATTGTACTGCAAGGTACCATACCACAAAGGGAAGGCTGGGATTGAGTTTTGGGGTGATGAATCATAAGGGGGTTCAAAAAATTTGGGGGGGGGGATGTTTTTTTTTTTTCCTTTTTTTTTCTTTTAAAATTTTCCATTTTAAGTTGGTTATTTCTGATTTATATTTAAAAGCAAATAATAATGATATGGTAGGAGATACACACCAAACAGGATGTGTAAATTATTATATAATAAGTATTGTGCAATAGCAAGAAATTTTCAATTGCACAGTATTGCACAATAGCAAGAAATCTTCAATTGCACAGTATTGCGCAATAGCAAGAAACCTTCAATTGCACAGTATTGCGCAATAGCAAGAAATATCCAATAGCACAATATTGCGTAATAGCAAGAAATTGTCAATTGTACAGTATTGCGCAATAGCAAGAAATATTTAATTGCACAGTATTGTGCAAAAGAAGATACTTCGTATAAATTGCTTATTTCTTGACCAATTTCAATGGGGTTTTATTCTTGAATTCTTGGGGTTCTTTAATATATTGAATCTGACCGTGTATTTAGTTTTTGGATTTTGGGCCCCGTTTTTGAATTGGTCCACATTGAGGTCCAAAGGGTCCAAAATTAAACTTTGTTTGATTTCATCAAAAATTGAATTATTGGGGTTCTTTGATATGCCGAATCTAACCGTGTATTTAGATTCTTAATGTTTGGTTCCGTTTTCAAATTGGTCTACATTAAGGTCCAAAGGGTCCAAAAATAAACTTTTGATTTTAACAAAAATTGAATTCTTAGGGTTCTTTGATATGCTGAATCTAAACATGTATTTAGATTTTTTATTATGGGCCCAGTTTTCAAGTTGGTCCAAATCGGGGTCCAAAATTAAAACTTTTTTGTTTGATTTCAACAAAAATTGAATATATGGGGTTCTTTGATATGCTGAATCTAACCATGTATTTTGATTTTTGGGCCCCGTTATCAACTTTGTCCACATTGAGGTCAAAAGGGTCCAAAATTAAACTTTGTTTGATTTCATCAAAAATTGAATTCTTGGGGTTCTTTGATATGCTGAATCTAACCATGTATTTAGATTTTGGATATTGGACCATAATAGGTGAATGTCCAATTTAAAATTTTTAAGTTCTTAGACCACATTCATTCTGTGTCAGAAAACCTATGCTGTGTCAAATATTTAATCACAATCCAAATGCAAAGCTGTATCAAGCTTGAATGTTGTGTCCATACTTGCCCCAACTGTTCAGGGTTCGACCTCTGCGGCCGTATCAAGCTGCACCCTGCGGAGCATTTTATTTATTATTGTTTATCTTTATTTCTTTTCTTAATTTGGATATCATGATGATTATGAAGACTTACGATTTTGATTGCTCCCTTGGCAACTTCCATTTTTATATAGGCAGATGATTTTTGTTTACAACTCTGGGTCTAATCTTGTCTTAAATAATGTCATAAATGTTTTATCTTTCATTGTTGATATAATCGTTTTGGAAGCATTAGATACCTCATAAAAGGAGTTTTGGTTAAGACAATTTGGAACTATCCCTACCTATTTATACAATATGTGATATATAAAGGCAACAGTAGTATACCGCTGTTCGAAATTCATAAATCGATTGAGAAAAAAAAACAAATCTGGGTTACAAACTAAAACTGAGGGAAACACATCAAATATAAGAGAACTACGACACAACAGAAACACAACATTAAAATCTAACACACACAGAAACGAACTATAATATAACAGTGGCCATTTTCCTGACTTGGTACAGGACATTTTAAGAAAAAAATGGTGGGTTGAACCTGGTTTTGAACATATTTTTATATGTTGAGTACTGTTTTATGGTGATACAAGCATGTGTTGGCAGTTTGAAAAATGTTATTTATTTAAAGTTTGAAATATTTCCAGTTACAGATAGCAAACTTGACAACTAGGTTAAAAAGATTCACATACTGTCATTTCTCGGACAATTTACGTATATTTCAAGGATGTTAGCATAACAGGAATTTCCTTTCATCTGAAGCTGTCTCTCAGATCCAAGTCCTCCATTTAAAGCTGTCAAAAATGATCATGTTAATATAAGTGTCAGACATCTTTCTTTCCATCATAATCTAACTAAATACTGGTGATCATAAGAGTGTAAGAGGGATTTTATTCCATAAGACTCTGTCTTAATGCTCATGATGATAAGAGTGTAAGAGGAATTTTATTCCATATGAAGCTGTCTTAATGCTCGTGATGATAAGAGTGTAAGAGGGACTTTATTCCATATGAAGCTGTCTTAATGCTCATGATGATAAGAGTGTAAGAGGGATTTTATTCCATATGAAGCTGTCTTAATGCTTGTGATGATGTGAGTGTTATGGGGTTTTCATTCCTTTACAAATCTGTCTATTGGATAGAATTCCTTTGGAATATTTTGAAGTGCAAAAATATCCCAACTAAATTCATTCACCAGTGTGCTTCATCTGCCAAATTGGTTTATAACACATTGGTTTATAACACAAGTAATGAATTTACTTTTTCTGTGTGTCTGTCTGGTGTTTAAGGTCAAATGAGAGGTCACCTGTAAGTGTTATATATAAGTTGATGTATTATTTAGGTTTATCATAAACTCATTCACCACAAGTCCAAGTTTGGTTTCTGAATAACAAACAAATTCTAATATTTTTAACTTTGTATTAAATTTTATTGTAATATTATATACAATATTGACTTATAACAAAGACTGGCATTAACGTCACATGACAAAGGTTTGATTTTTCGTTGGCTGACACACACTTCAACATTCATACAACCAGTCTTAACAAAATATATCATTCATAGCATAATAAATACTGACATATTTGTCGTGAATTGTGAATAAGAATTTTTTCTGGTGATATTAATGAATTGGGTTGTTTAATATGGTATCAGAATTTAAAAAGAAAAAGAAAATTATTTACTTTTAACAAAATTTCACATTTAAACAAAAAATGTTTTCTGTACTGATATATAAAAGATATATAAATGTTTTTTTTTAAAAATCTAATAAAAATCTACAGAAAAAACTGTTCACTTTAAAACTGACTAAAAGTCACAATGTTTTTAACTAAATGATGAAAGTGTAATGATATTTCAAATCCCTGTAAGACCACATAAAATTAATTTTTAGATTCTCATCCCCTTTTTTTATTTCTTAGTTTTGATTAATGAATTTCTTTGAAAAATTACACAAATTTCTGTTAATCTTTTGTTCTTGTAGAAGAAAGATGAGAATAAAAAAATAATTTGTATGGCCAAAGTATATTAACTATGTCTCCAGATATTCTGGTGTTAAATAAAATGATTGTAAATAAAAAAAGGTGCAATGATAGACAATATAAACTAAAAAAAAAATCATTTTACCCGTTTCATGAATACAATCCTCAATAATAAGGTGGCTTAAATTCTTCTTAAGTATCAACTGCACACACATACACAAACATGTACATACACTACACATATACACATTCAACAACAGATGCCCTAAACATTCTATCAGCAACAAACTTATATTCTCAACAACCTTAAAAACATTTTGGTCTGCAAGTTTTCATGTAATTTAAAACTCTTTTATTGACTATAATTTTTGAACTGTTTTCAAAATTCTTTTATTGACAATTTTTAACTATTTGACTTCTCCAATTATTATCATATACTTATTTAAAAAAAAAAAACACATTTAATAGCATATGTTTGAGCAGAATTTATCTTTACTTAATTTGAGGATAAGAATAAAAAGTTGCCTTCCAATTTCAATTTCAAATATTCAACCATATAAATTGTCCCCACAATTCTTCATATGAGGCAATGAAACTTATTGTTTAATCTTTATTCTTATTTTCCATAAACTATTTAGTTAATTAGTACAAATGTACTGAATTTTATTTTAAAATCTAGTTTTTCCCTGAAAAATGTTATTGATGACAAAAATACATGAAAACTTGTAGATAAGGAATTGTATGCAACAATCAATTACGTTCTTCATTCGATATAGATAGCACCATCGACAGAAATAAATATAGACCCTGAAAGACTAACACTGACTGACAAAGGAAAATATTCTATGAAAATTTTAACTGTCTTTCAAAACGACTTTTTCTCATCATTTTTTCAAATTTGAATGATAAAAACCAAATTTACAAATACAAGGCCTTTATGGACATGTGTGTCATATTTCATGTGTAAAGTATCTGTATCTTTAAGAAATAAACATTTATAGTTGAGAATGCACTGTTCTTTAAAATGAAAATACATTGTAGTTTGATAACAGGATTAAGATTACATATTTTATCCTAAGGGAAGTGAATGCATAATTGTTTTTCCTACTGTCAATCAGTGCATTGATTGTTGCTAACATTTCTATAATATATTGCATAGGTGGGACATAACAAAGGACACCAATTTTAATACTGAACAATGCTTATGTACAAAATGATATAATTTAGGGAAAATTCTCGTTATAATCATACACAACAGTGACACAATCTTCCTGCACTTCATTGGTTTTTAAAAATATTAAACAATATGTAACTTTCCCCTCCCCAATGTAAATGTACAGTGAATGTTTAATGAATGAAGTTTTGCTTAAATTAAAATTAAATATTAACTGATTTCAAATGTCATCCAAATCTGATCTATTAAAAAAAAATCTTAATTAAATAGTAATTCTTATTTGTGCTTATGTTTAAGCTATGACACTTTTAAATAAAAGATATAAAAACATGACCATATTTTGAGTTACTATTTGTATGCAAATGTTGTTCCATAATATGCATAACAAGTAGGAAATGGTGCAGAGATTACAAACGATTTCTCTCAGCTGAATATCTACTTATAGATTTAAACTATCCTGCAAATTAAGAAAGAATCTGAAGGATTTTTATGAAGTGAAGAAAGATTGTTCCGCTAACTTAAAACTTGTATAAATTTGAATTAAAGTACCCATTTGAGCACAAATAACAATCTGTAGATTTACCCTATAGGACTGGTTTACCCTTTAACAGGATACCAGTATACAACGATACGACCTGGCAGGGGTCAACAATACTTCATTTTAGAAAATATTTTCATACTTCACAAAAATGAAAATATTTTCCATGGATTTCAATCAACAATGTCACATCACAAGTAACTTCCTGTTTAGGAATTTATATCACAGCCAATCAAATTATTGTTTACTTGTGATGTACAGTTTCCATGGTACTATAAATAACTTTGGTTATTTGTTACAGTTACTATATAAAGAACTGCAAAAATATGTCCAATCTTTGGCAGTAAAGTTATCCAATGGAATTATAGCATGATGCACTCCATACAAGTATTTAATCCTGAGTATTAATAACATGATGCACCATAGAAGAGATTCTCGTATTAAATGAAATGCCAGGTAGACTGTACATTATTCTCGTTTTGTTGAATAAAAGCTGTGTATATCAGTCTTTTATTTGAGGTTAGTTCCGTGTCATACGACTTGATCACAATCTTCACTGGAGCTAGTCCGTGTATAACACTGTCCAAATGCTTCTGGTGAATTTGTATCTCTATTTACATGTGAAAACTCAATTGTTCCTTCTGAAAAATAAATTGAGATTTTTAGTGATCTTGTCGGATATAAATGATTGCTAGCTGCTTTACATTTGAAGATGTACAATAACAGCTTACACAATGAATCATATTTATCATATGCTTAAACTGTTGCTTAATGGTGAGAGGTGCCCATGGTAGGATAGCTTTATAATAATGCTTAACATTAAAATATTGAGCAGTGTAAATGATGCTAATTGTTCTAACATATTTATATTAAAAAATCACTAAATGTAACTTAATCAACCTACATTTCAGAACAAAAGAATTAAATTTGTTTATATGCATCAATGTAATTTTTTCAATATATACATGCAGATAAAATGTGATATGATTGCCAATGAGACATCTCTCCAACAGATTGTGTTTCTCTTTTTCCAAGTCAAAACAAATTTTTATGTAACTAAAATTATTTGAAAGTAATATACTAACCATTACTGCTCAAATCAGTATTAGTCGCTTGATCTCTTGTAGAATTTTCACGACTTGCTGCTTGCCTTTTTCGTCGTCTTTTATGTTTTCCTGAATGAACACTATTTTCACTGGCCACAGAACTGTCATTAGAACACTGCTTCACAAAATCTAAATTGTTTGGGTCATGTGACTCAGCCAGCTGATCACATGACTTATTAGAATATTGCTCCTGAGAGTCTGAAGTTGTAAATTGATCATAACCAATTGGCACACTGTAAGAATTAGGTGAGGGTGGGATGGCAGGTGCCTCTCCACTACCCATTGAATCTGGAGTATTGAGACACTGACTGCCTTCCAATGAATTATCCAGGTTCTGTTTATTGTTATTATCACTGTATTGACTAGGTAAGGTGCCATTCGGAACAAAAGTTGTGGACTGCTGAAAAACACAAATCAAAGGTTAATCTTATGCTAATGTATTAGCAAAGTATTTTATTGCAAAAGCAAATTTACATTTTTGACAAGCAACATTGCATTATAATATACATTTTACTGTTTAATCTCTACTTGAAAAAATATTTTTTTTGACACTTTGTTTCAAGAAACGATACTCTTTTTAAAATTTTACACATTAAATCACACATATACTTACATTTATCTGTTCCTTATTTTACACATTAAATCACACATATACTTACATTTATCTGTTCCTTATTTTATAAACTTTGTATATTCTTAGTAGTTATTGAAAAATGGGCACTAGTATAAATTGTGAATTTTGACCCTTACATCTGATCCAGTATGTCATTTGTTTCAGAAAGCAAGTTCATTGATACCAGACCCAATATAACTCCTCGGTGAAAGAGTCCTTTGACCCTGATACCAACATGACCTTTGGGGAATCAAGACAACACACCTACAGCTGCTAGTCTACAGTATGGCCCTTACTAATTGGACTAAGTCCTTTAACCTTAACCAATACATAACATTTTGACCCAGACACCATGCCAAATGCTACTGATATCCAGTAACCGTATCTTCATTGCTTATTTAATGTATCCTGTGACCCCTACGTGTCCTTCTGCCTGGATGATACCTAGAGATAATGATTTCCAGTATGTCTCTGCCTGGATGATACCTAGAGATAATGATTTCCAGTATGTCAAATGATCATTGAATATGTAATTTACTCAGTCCCCTAACTACATGATACTAAATGTCCACAAAGTCCATTTCTCACTGAATGCATATCAACTCTGACCCCTACCTAAATGACCTTCTGACCTTGATAACATACCTGGTGAAGCTGATTCCCAGTATGTCCATTGCTCATTGAATGCATGTCCATTTCTGACAATGGATTGATATTAACATTCATCTTGGTATAGGTATTTTGAACCTGTCCATTCTGAACAGGCGGAGCCGTAGGAACAGCAGAATATCCACCATTCACATATTTTTTCCGCAAACTGTCAGCATAAATTCTTTGGGATGGATCTTGAAATTTATTTCTCAGAACAGCATCATTCATAGCATCTGTAATTTAGACAAAGATTTTGGTTGAAACAAGGATGTAATGGTAGAAAAAAGTATATTAAAAAATGCCTGAAATATTACTAAATTTGTTCTTAAGAAACTGTTTGCTTACTGAAATTTCTTAACTGGCATACTTTGAAGCAAGACAATAATTGAGTTTAATTATCCTCAAATTAGCACAAAATGTTTAAAAAGATACTGTCCATGTACTTCCTTTTTACCTATAATAGCAAAGGCTTATAATACTGAAAATGTGTTTTTCAAAAATCCTAAATAACTCTTTTAATTCTCTTAAATTAAATTAAAATTTACCCATCATCCTCCTTTGTTGTCTCTGTTTCCACCAGCACATGAAGATAAAAACAATCAACAACAACATCAGAACACCGAAGACGATTCCCAGGATCATGTATAATAGTTCACTATTAGCTTGATTGTCAGATTTAGTTGGTGAACCCTCGTTACTCTGTTCGGCTGGTGGTTTAGCAGTAGATGGTGGGATGAATGGAAACTTGGGTTCTGTTCCTGAAAAACATAAAATTGTAATTTCATTTCAACTATTATTTCCAACATGTTTACTTTAAACAACAATATCGGCTATATGCATATTAGATAATGATCGGACAGTTACACCAAAAAAAAAAAATTAAAGTTACTGTATAAAAATAAGGAGATGTGGTATGAGTGCCAAATGACAAGAGCTCCATATGATGTATGATATTGTGATCTGCTTTCTATGTGTCATTGGAATATAGACATTGACAAAATGGGATTGATTGGTGGTTCCTTAATGTCCAGTGGCAAATATTTCATGCATGTTCAGGACAATGACAGAATGGGTATATAATTAGGATTAATAGTAGTTGTACAATTTTGTTAAAGTACTGCAGACTAATACTTAACTATAATGTTTGTTTTTTTGTTTTTTTTACAGTCTTCAATATATTTTAAGGAGCCTTTACTTGATCAATGCATCTGAATCGAAAATTTATCTTAGATATGGGTGATTGTAGATACAATGTTAGTCACACATTAATTCAATCCGGTATTCACATGGGGTAACTCAAGTTTCTCAGAAAACGGAAGTTATCTTTGCATTCACTGATATAAAATTTCTTAACATTAAATTCAATCAAAATATTGCATAATATCTTTTGTCTAGCAATGGTGTTCTCATCAAAAGTAACAACAGTTCATCAATATTAAACTTTTTAAGATGTTTTCATTGGATTTTTTAAAACAAAACAATTTGACATTTTTACACTCTGCATCTATCACGTCTATTATCTGACAAATATTTGATGTATGTTTTAGCACCAAACTGTTTTACAGTTCTGATTTGTAATTCACTTTACATTTCTCTTGTAATTACAGAAATAAAACATCAGGCGATAAGATCATATCTATTTATTTGATTGAAATAATAGATCCTTTTTTTTTTTATTATTATTAATAGTTCAAAGGTCAATGCTATTGCAAGCTGTAAATATCTGACAGCATGATCTATATATGAAATTCCCTCTCCTGTAGGTAAGCTCAAGAATATTAAGAAGCATCATGGGTAAATTAAAAAGAAAGTGTATATAAGAAGTTTAGTAGAAATTAGTGGAAACATAAATGAGGGCCGTATGACCTTTTTCAAGATGTGGGAATTAGGCCTTTATTTTTATGAATTCGGGATTTACACTTATCGGTACTCTAGAATTAAAGATTAATTTTTTCGGAATCTGGAAACCAATGCTTTATTTTCACGGGTATCTATACTGTGGATTCATCATTATTCGTTGGATACCAATTTCCGTGGATTTCGTGGGTACAGATGAAACACGAAATTAAGTGTTCCACGAAATACAAATTTTCTATAAGGTTATATGCAGACATTGGCAAAACCACGAAATCAAATATCCACTAAAATGCCAATTTTACTCAATCCACGAAAATTGGTACCCATGAAAATAAATGAATCCACAGTATGACACCCCTCCTACTCCTAGAGTGATCAAAGACATTACTTTTCTTTTTTTAAGAATGCAAATATATGATAAACTTTAAAAAAAAAAAAAATGAATTTATAGTCTATTGCATTCTATCAATGTGTGTGGTTTATATATGCAGGATTCAAAGAAACACTATCAAGTTTATCTACAATGTAATTTTCAAACTTTCAAATCTTATGAGTTTACGACATGACTATTTATTTAAAGCGATTTTATCAATTCATAAATAATATAACTGTATGTTATACAATTGGTATGATTTCTAGAAATACATTCATTCGTGTAATACCTTCATCAAACAGATTATAACCTATTTTCACTTTCACCAAAACTTCTGCAAGTTTAATTGTAACTATTGCTGAATTTGTAATTGAACATTTATAATTTTTACTGAAATTATTTTTGCAATCAAACTGTATTTCCTATATATTCTCGTGATATATAGTCAGTAAATTGTCATGGACAATACAAAGTGATCAAAGATCCCAGAAAAAGGTATTTTCTTAAAGATTTGTATACTAACACGAGTCAAAAATTGATCTGCATCCTTAAAATTCTCCAAGTTATAAATATTTGTTTGTTTAGAGTATAATCCCACTTTCAGCACCCTTGATTATATCATGGCCACAAGTTAGTTTTTATCAGAGGAGAAAGCCAGACTACAGGAGAGAATTAGGACCTCTAGCAGGAAAATCTTGTTAATTAAGATCAGAGTTGAATACACCTTGCCACAAGCATGTTGGAGCTCACAACCTCAGAGTTGACAGACTAGTTTTCACTGTAGATAAGGTATATTGTATACATGACAAATTATACTAACCCTTACCTTCACCTAGAGTTTTCACTGTAGATGATTAGGTGTATTGTATACATGACAAATTATACTAACCTTACCTTCACCTAGAGTTTTCACTGTAGATGATAAGGTATATTGTATACATGACAAATTATACTAACCCTTACCTTCATCTAGAGTTTTCACTGTAGATGATAAGGTGTATTGTATAATAGACTTACCTTCACCTACAGTTTTCACTGTAGATGATAAGGTGTATTGTATAATAGACTTACCTTCACCTACAGTTTTCACTGTAGATGATAAGGTGTATTGTATAATAGACTTACCTTCACCTTGAGTTTTCATGACAACAGTGTTACTAAAGTCACTCATCCCTTCTGAATTGAAGCACTGCATTTTGAGTGAGTATTCTGTCCCTGCTTTGAGTTCTGCCACCAGATAGGTTCGTATTGATGGTTGCATCAACATCTCCTTCTTATAATCTCCCTTGGAATTGAATGGTTTATAATACAAGAAAAATCCCTCTATAGGTGATGACTTAACTGGGATGTACTGAAACAGAAATTCTCAATTGTAAATAATTGCAGGTTTAAAACAAGTACATGTGTATAAACAGTGATACTTATCGTAACTTGGTATATGAATAAATGGAATTGTGGAGAATATGCCAATGGACTGCATGCAGCTCAACAAAACAGATAACAGAAATCTAGAGGTCAACATTCCATCTTCAACTATAAGTGTCTTTTTATAATAAGTTAAGCTCAAAAGAGTCTCAAAGATCTATTCCTTTAATTCTTTAAAAGCAGAACATCCTTCTAGTGTAAGCAAAATCTTCAGACCTCAAAAGGTATGGTAAAGACCAGTTATAATGCAACATTATATATTTGTGACTTTATGTGAGTATATTATAGTTAGTACTAATATGTCTGCCATTACAATTTTTTCATTCTAAAAAATACAAGGGCACTTGAACGCTGTGACTGAATAAAATTTTCCATTTCAATTGAACATATATGACTCTTTTTTAAAACAACAGGTCAAAACAATATAGGGCCATACAGAGCATTTACTCCTCTATTATTACTACAACATGTTAGCCTTAACCCTAAAATGATCTTTAACCTTTAACCCTTAACTCGTCTGTTAATACTATATGTTAACCTTAACCCTAAAATGATCTTTAACCTTAAACTCTAAACTTAAAGTCTCAAATACTGTCCTTGATAATATTTAGCTAACAATAGATTAAATATATGTGAAGAGGTTAGTGGATTTGACTAACTAAACTTACATTCCACTTGATATTGAGAGCATAGTTATCCATGTATGTAATTGGTTTAACTTCTACAATTGTCGGTGGATTCTTAGGAACCTGAGGTTGCTGGTACGTTGGAAGATGTAACGTGAACTTGTCCGAGTTAGGACCGGCCTTATTGTCATTATTGGAATACACTGCTGCAATACGAAACTTAAATGTTCCCTCAGCAACCAAGTTCTTGACTTCATACTGCCTACGATCTCCCTGAATTTCATTGTCATCAGTCTGCCATGGACTCTTCTTTGGTTTGATCACTCGATACTGAACACGGAAAAATATAATATTCAGTCCATCATTGGCTGGCACAGTCCAATTTAACTTTACTGATGTGTCTGATAACTGGTACACATCTGGTGCTGAAGGGGGTACCAGCTTTACATTGGCTACAAATAAAAAGACAAATCATTACAATATGAAAATAAGGAGACGTGGTATGCTTGCCAATGAGACAACTATCCACCCAAGTTCAAATGAAGTAGATGTAAGTAATAATAGGCAACTGTACGGCCTTCAACAATGAGAATGACTATAAAATAAAAGAAATAATCGCATCAGATTTATCTATTCTCTTTTCTAGTGTATTTAGTTCAAAAATTGTAGTTTTTTTGTATTATATTAAATATAGCGTTTTCAAAATGAAAAACAACAAATACAAATAAAATAATACTCTACACTTTTGTAATTTTTTGTATAAATAGAGGTTATCAGACACACATTTCCAAAATAGCGTTACTGTTTTCTGTTGACTTTATTGGAGAAATAAAACTAAAATGTATAAGTATATCTATTCTGGCCTTAGTAGATTTTTATTCATCTTTTTAAATATATTTTTTATGACCTTAGTAGAATTTTTTTTTTAATCTTTTTCAATATATTTTAAAGTTATGTCTGTATTAATTTTTTCCAGTAATGAATTAACTTACTATCAGGACCATCATTAACAGGCTGAGGACCTTTTGTTTTCTTATTCTTTCTCTGTTTTCTGTTTCGTCTATTTTTCCTTCTACGTTTACCATTTTTCCTTTTAACATTAGGCCTCTGTCTGTGATTGTTATTGTTTTTAATGGATGTTGTAGGAACCATTCCATCACCTTTTATGTCCACTCTAATAACAGCATAATCAACGCCAATGTCATTACTGGACATACACTGGTAGAGACCAGCATCCTCGTGGATCACATGATTCAGGCTGTACGTTGTTCCTTGATTCTCGTCCACATTTAGAATGTTGGAGATTGGGACAGCATTATGATACCATATCACCTCTGGTTTAGGTGAACCTCTGACCTTACAACGTAACTTGACAGAATTTGAAGGGGTCAAGGTAACTGAGGTAGTTTCTGCAGTAACTGTTGGAGGTTCTGTAAATACATGTAAGTTATAAATGAGAAAACACTAAAGACCAACCATAAATATTATCGACTGGTTCAAGATATTCCATATCTAATAACTGGTGAAACTGTTAATCTTGGAATATTATCTCTTTGAAATTTCTTTTGCCAAAACATTTCTAACTTTCTGCAAGTTACTTATGAAGAGAAAACTTCCTTATCTTAATTTCCTTTAGAAATATATGACTATATTCATAAGTTTAGTGTCCATTATAAAGTCTTATGCAGCTGTATTTTATTGGTTATAATTTATATATTTAAATAATCTGAGAGTATTTGGATCAATTTGCTATAATCAGATCACTTTTTAATTTCAAATAAAATGTCTTTAAATAACAAGTTTTGGTGCTGTTGACAGGTAATTAGTTCTTACCAATTAGTTTTAGATAAACATCCTTTACAGTCTGTTCTTCATTGCCACTGTTCACTTTACACAGGTATGTACCTGTATCTTCCTGAGTCACATTTCTAATTATTAAATTTCCTGCAAAAAAACACCAAATGCTTACTGTTGATTCATATTATTCAGGGGGTACTAATATTAGTAGATTTCAAGGTTTTAGGTTAACCACACATTCAAATCTTCAGTAAAATACCCCAAAGTCTTATATACAGATTTGTGAAAATAACGAAATCAACAATCCACGAAAGTTTATACCCACAAAAAATATGTGAATCCACAGTATATTTTATTAAGGAAGGAATATTTGAAGTAGCAAGAATCAATGTGAAAAAAAATTACTGTGAAACTTTAAAAAAGACTTTTGGCCATTTTTCAGAATTGTACAGATGATGTGCAATATATTCTGCTTTTTCTGCCTTTTTTTTCAAAATGTTTTTTTTTTTCATGAGAAATCATTGACATGTTTTCCTGAAGCAGTTTCCTAAGAGATAATCTTCCTATTACTTGTCCCACTATCCTTTGGTAAGATGAAAATAGAATAACATACCTTTCATCAACTACCAACATTTATAACGTAAAGACTGGGTCTTTCTGTCAAAATAGTAGTATAGGTTTTGCTGATTGTTGAAGGCAGTCAGCTGACCTTAAGTTGTTAACTTATATGTCATTGGTCCCTGGTGGAGATTTGTCTAAATGACATTAAACGTACCACATCTTCTTATTTTTATACTGTTAAACTTTTTAACAGGGAAACAAATATTTTTCAGTTTTTTATTTCCATATTTGGACTAAATTTCATTCATTGTATTTTACTGTTTGAAACAATTTTTTAATGCTGCAAGTTGGCCTCTATTTGAATAGATTTTCATTACAAACATGAAGGAATTTATAACAGCTAATTCAGATAAAACTGTGTTCAATATGGTGAATTGTAGGAAAAACTTTGAAATAATTTTAAACCTACCCTGAATAGTTTCTGTACGTTCCTTTGGTAGACTGCCACCATATTTTTCCCATGATACAACAGGTTGAGGTAGACCTATAGCAACACATTCTATTGTTACATCCTCTCCTTCGTGGGCTTCAACTTCCATTGGTCTGTAAACATTTACATTTCCTGTAGTTGAACCTGGAAAATAATATAAAATTGAAATAATAATTCTAAAACTATTTTTCACATTTTGTCACCGTAAGTTGTACTGTATTCTAAAATTTCATGAGTTGTCATTCTTTGTTAACATGACTGTTAATGTTGCTACATTTATCTGCATACAGAAAAGTCCTCGTCAAATTACAAAAAAAAAAAAAAAAAATGATCAAATGGGATGCTTCAATATTATTTTAATAAGGGGCTCTTTTGTATGTAGATTAATAAACTTGGATTGTGAAGAAAGAAAACATCACCTTTACTTTCATCCACTGCATTAAATGTGTTGTCCCGTATAGTTTAACAATATTCTTTCCAATTAATTAGTGGTTCATTTGAAAATTATTTCTTATATATATTCTTACTCAAATTTTAGCTGTATTTACTTATTAAAGAAAATCAAGGTTTTATAAGTAAAATGATATTTAAAGTAGCAGCTTTAATTGATCATTTAACATATCACATAAGATTTAATATCCCATTAAAACATGCAAATTGCAAAATTACAAAGAATTCATTATCCTATCAAAACATGTAATTTGCAAAAAATAAAGGCTTTATTATCTACCAAAAATATTTAATTTGTAAAACAAACTATAATTTATAAGATAAGTTTGTATCTGACAAATTATCTTCCACAAGTTTCTAGCTTGTGGATTAATAGCCTATTTACTCTGATATCTGAAGTGAATAATGAAGGGGAGGTAATTATAGCACAGTCACGTCAGAATTAATATTTCTTCGAAACTCAAGAGTTACTTATTTTGATCACGTTATATATTAGAAACAGTAACATTAAGTAAATAATAAGGCTTCAACCTCTAGTTCAAAATGGCAGTTTTGTCGGTGCACATCTGTTTTTATAGTACTGTTGTTAAAAAGTCATTAGCTATTGGTAATGTGTACCCCATTTATTTAATGATCATCTAGCTAACAGTGAGTAATTATACTGTAATGAAAAACATGTGATAAATGGACATTTTTCTCCAAAATAGTGAATTCAAAAGTCATTTATTTTTTGTTTGAAGTTGCTACAATATTGTTTTCTGGGTAAGAACACAGATTAACCATCCGGAAAGCTGGCAATGTCTCCTTTACCTGTAGATTAATGGGAAAGTAACAGAAGTAGATGGATATATTTGGCAATATTGTGTTTCAAACTTCTTAAAAATTAGGAATAAGAAATATGCATCTTAACAAAATTCTTTTAAAAGAGAGATGTTTTACATATACCCTTATAATTAGTTTTTTTTCTGCACCTATCTCAAGTCTGATTTACCTTAAATATGGATTTTCCCTCAGAAGACGAGCACCAGATTATTTTCCAAAAAGAAAATAAAAGTTAAACTTTGTTTATTTTTGAAGTGATAGAGAAAAGATATCATACTAAATGGAAAAGACAAATTCATACAGACAAAAATAAGTTTCTTTGTTAAAGGGCAGAATAAGACATTTGGCACAATTTGTAATTTTTCAAAATATTTTGTAAATATTAAAGGCACATACATTATAAACCAACTTATCTGACTTAGCAACACATCAAGTTTCACTAAAATATGACATATGAAAACTGAAGTAACCATAGCTTTATCTTGGATCTAGTGCAAAGTTGAACAAAGATCAAATAAAAAATCTCCCCTCCCTGGACCCTCACAAATATTATCATTTTTCATCATCAGATAGCAGGCGAACTCATCAATCACCCAGTAGATACCAAAACCACATCAACAGGGGCCAGCCATGGGGTGCAATCATTATTCTCACTTTCTAATATATTAAGGTATCAGATAACATTTCAGATTAATCGTCTTCAGTATTTTTCTAATGAAATTAAATTTTATTAAAAAACAAGGGTCAGATTTCATTATGAATGGTATGCCTATTAATTCATGGCTGACATGCCCTACACCTGAATTAAACACCTGTCATTATAATCAACATACAATTCTTGTCACTATCTGGTCATCTCAGTGGTCACTTAATGGTCAACACTTATCAGTGTCAATTCTAATCACAAAGATACATTTCACATCATTAAGGATGAAAACATGATACAAATATGAAGCTGATTTTTTTCCCCCTTCAATTTCTTTTCTTTTTTCAGTTTTTGGCATTTGAAATTAATGACATAATTTTCACATCTCCAGTAACTTGCATAGGTGACAACACCCCTCTAAAGAAAACATGTACACAAATGTTACCCTTACTGGTACCCTTATCAATCAGAATGCCATTAATAATGACCTGGTATCCATTTCCAGGTCATATCAAATCCAATGATATAATTCTATGACTTTAAAATCTCATTTGTCAAACTGTCCCCCCTGACTGTTATCTGTAAATAGGGAGTGTCAATACTCTGCAGCTGACAGGAACAAACAGGCTGTACCTGACTGGTATCAGAACTATGATACTAGTACACATATTCACCATGGTATTGAAAACGTCTAATTTCTGAAGATGAATAATGATATAGTAGGGAAACTTCTTTCATCGAAGTATATCTACAAAGTATGTCTACCAACTATATGAAGGCTTTGCTAACAAGTAAAATAAATGCATCTTTCCACAGTTATCGCTCAAGTTGTCATTTCTCAGAGGTCAGAAGGTGATGAAGTTTATTTACTACCAGACAAGAAAACAAGTATAGAGGATCTGGAATTTTAAAGTAAATCTAGGATATAATTTTGTGGCAATGAATTTCGTTTGATCATGTATCCATTAATACTTTTGTTCGATGCAAATATACTGTGAAAAAGAAAATGATTCGCAGTTTGAATATGACCTTGTGTAAAAATATGAAAACTGGACAAAAGAATTCATGTTACAAGCATGTGGAAACATATATTTATTATATATCACATTCTGTCAAAACAAACCTTGACTAAATTTAACATCAAACCACATTCCTTCAAAAATTTAATTATTATATTCAGTGAATCAAAAAGTGTACCGGATTGCTAAATTACACACTCATGTTTCTTTCCTCTCCATAATTTAAAGGATAAATTTGGCGTATTAATATCATGCTCATCTGTTTTGGTAGATTGTTCACCCATGACAACTTATAATTACTGTATCCTTATTTTCAGTAGGTTTGTCAGTTTAGAACCCTAGTTAAGTAATAAACCCAATCATAAATTTAGCCAACCATTATAAGTACTAGGTTATTTCTGCTGTTAGTCATCCTGAAACATCAGTGCAAATATTAAGCCACAAATACACTGAAAAAGGGATATTACAATTAATCATAAGTGGCATAAAACTTGTTTCAAATGTGCAAAATACAACTTTAAATGTTTTTAACTTTTTAGACTTTAGGAGTTACTCCCCTTTGTTTTAATTTTTTTCTAATTGCATGACATTCGACAATGAAGTATTAAAATCTTGTAATTAATACAATAATTTGTTATTAAATTCGAATTTAAGGTAATTAAATATTGCACACAGATGTCAAATCATTGCTAGTTTAATAAAGAAGTTGTACAAGTAAAAAGATGAAAGGCTTTACACATTTCTTGTTTTCAAAGTCAACTTAAGAAACTTATATTGCTTATAAATAATTGGGTGTAGATTTTTTTACTGTATAATTAAATGCACAATGAAGAGATAAAAAAAACTTAAGCATTCCCTGACAAATCTGTCTCTTTATTTCGATGTCACATTTTAACAAAATCTACCAAAAAACCCGAATAATTCATGGTCATAAAAATGGACAAAATAAATTTGGTTTTATCCTTCATAAATTCCTGAACAATTTGTCCATTATGAATGTTCAAAATCTTAGGATATCTTTCTAGCCCAATGAACACAGTCGACAATTTGGCCAAATTATTTCTGAAAGTTTAATTACCCTTAAATAATGAGAACCATTAATAGTATAGATCTATTGATGCTTTATTAGTTGGTGTACGTCAAAATTTCCCTACATTAGGTTCATGTCAATCAACTTTAATATAAGGTTTATAGAAAATGGATTTCTGGTTGAATGTAATTGTTATGGTATGAACAAATGTTGGGGAAACATAATATCTCAGATTTATTTGTCAGATGTAAAAATATATTGCTTTTTTTCTTTATTTATCAAATTTTCCTACATTCTTAAATTACACACTTTGAGAAAAATAACTGAATGTAAAAATACTTAGAGATGTACAAATATAGTACATGCATTTAAATTGTCATTAAATGGTTTTTTTCTTGAATTAATCAAAGTGCTGAAAGTACTTTTAATAGCTTACTTTTCAACTAACAAAAAGTAAAATAACAAAAATACCGAACTCCAAGAAAAATTCAAAACGGAATGTCCCTTGGCAAACTTACATTAATAATTTTGGACATTTCTGAAATATTTATCAATGTAAACTGAGTATTGTCTATTTCTTAAAAATACAAGATAACATGTCACAAAAAATTAAAATAATTTATATTGCGTCTCTTTAATATTATTAATCTTTTGTCTAAAAGTCATTTTAACTTCAGTACTTATTTCCATGTTAATTTTTTTTCTAGAATTATATTTCAATTGAATATTAACCTATTTCGTGACAAATGTATAACCTTGTTCATGTGTTATAAACCTAACGAAGCACAGAAAAAAGGATGATTTACTTTGCGACCCTATACTTCTAATGTTTTAAACACTTTAATGTTATGTCACACAAATTCATACATGTAAATTCCATTATACAAGTTAATTCTGTTATCAAACCGCCATACTTGACTTCTTAATAATTTCTTCTATACAGTCAGAACATTACCTTCAAGGACTTTAAACAATTATTATAATAATTCATATTTGATTTATTTTGGCAAATCTCAACTGACAATTTGGTAAATTGAGATCCATAATTATAAAATATTTTCATTGGCATGTACTAAACTTCCATTATAAACGTCTATAATAGCACTTCTATAAAATATGACATAGGAATTTGGCTAGATTTGTGTATAATATTAAAAGGCATTGTAATGGTTGTCTTATCAAAGTAAAAAATCATGCCTTAATATTGTAAACTGTGGTTCATATGAATGTATTTTTTCTGCTTGATAGAAAAATATCATGCCATTCTATTGAGAAGAAATCGTATCAGTTACTTTAAAAACAAGTCAGTACAGAAATCATGTTGACCTTTGACATAACAAAGTTGTTATCAACGATTTTCTATGCGATTTATTTCATTGAAATCAGTATTATTTTTCGTGTAATCATGTGACTCCTTTGAACAGTTGAACAGTCTAAATCATCACTCCAGACATTTTCAAATTTTTTTTTTAATAAATGCCATAATTATTTCTATTTATAATCCATGTCCTACACAATCCAACTTTCTCCTAAATTAAGATTTCATTTGTATTACCTAATGTTTAATACAAGATACCTTCACTTTTTATGATATTTCTTTACAAATTACATAAATATATGCAAAAAAATTTGCAAATGAAACACTTTTATTTTATGCGTATTTTTGAAAGTATGACAAACGTTTAATACAACATTAAGGCTGACACGACCTATTTAGTAATGCAGACATTTGCAACACTTATTAACAAAATTTATTATCATACTATAAATATGTTATTGTGATCTATTATAAGAATTTTGACAACTTCCATACCTTAAAAAAAAAAATTCTTTCATGTAGGCATAACTTGATAGATTTGACCCATTTTATATAGCAAACAATTTACAGTATCAATTTACCAAAATTAGTATTCTAGATATATTTAGAGTGATGTGACCTACTTTTTAAGTTTGTCCACAGGATACAGAAACAATTTACCAAGTTATTATTTTGTAACCATAATAAGGTAGATGCAACCTACTTTACTAATGTAGACTGTTTTGTAGTATATCTTGACAATGTTTGCTTACTATAAGCAGAAAAGGTTACTATTTAATATAATAAGGTAGATGTGACCTACTTTACTGATGTAGACAGTTTATAGTATTTCTTGACAATGTTTGCTTACTATTAGCAGAAAAATAGTTACTATTTAATATAATAAGGTAGATGTGACCTACTTTACTGATGTAGACAGTTTATAGTATTTCTTGACAATGTTTGTTTACTATTAGTAGATAAATAGTTACTATTTAATTACAAGAGTACTTTAAATAAATGGCTTAGGTGAGAATGTTGATACACAGAGATAATGGAATCTATTTCAGATTCCCTTACCTTTGGCAATCTTTTTATCAACACACAGATAATAGATAGAAAATATAAGTATAAATCAGAGAAATCCTCTTTGATCTTTTTCAGTAAGCGCCAGGTGCCTGCCCCGTAAATTAATGCTTCCCAAAAGATAAAGTTTTTAACTGGGCAACGTGTGAACTATTATGAGATCATTTCACTTTTGAACAAAGCACCATGCTTTGGAACCAAGCAAATTATTTAAGATTAATAAATAATTTGGAAATATTTTAGACCACCTCCGATGATCAAAAACAGTACTTGTTTTTAACCAAGCTTAAATTTTATATTAATACCGACTATTGTTGAAATGTCTCATTCATGAGTTTTATGGCTCTTAATATACCCTCATGAATAGTTAAATGTCAAATTTATATTCCTTCACACATATATGATAGGGAAATGATTTCAAAGGTCCTCTGTTCATACACATATATAATCTTGTAGATTAAAATAGACAGGTGAGTATAAGTGCAAATATCATTAGACATACAATATATAATGTACTGTCTGTTCCCTTCCTTGGTTGTCAATTCTTGGACAAGTTACAAACTATAATCATCTGCAATTTGTAAAAAAATCGGTCACCTTCTGTTTAAATTTGGTTTTTAATTAAGTTGAAGTAAAACAAAAACGAAACTTAAACTTAAAATCTTATAATTTCAAGATAATAATGAGTTTCCAATAATTTTAAGTGGCGTCTTCTCCATTTGTTTTACAGTCATGATAATCTGAACTTAATGTACATTGAATAAAAGTTTGCAAATTTTCTAGTATGTCCTACGGTGGTGTGGGGATCAGGGGGAGTAAAAAAATGCTGTTACATCTCATTGGACAAATTCTGCTCACATAACATTTCATAGAGATAAAACTGTTCATTCAGAATATACATTCAGTCTTCACAATAGACTTTTTAATCTAAAGGCTGAAGTTGAATTTTAAGAAAACTTTAGTTAGATTATATTGGCCTGTGGAGATGACTTTTACAGGCCCGACAGAAATTTTACAAGCCTGGGCTGGTGGGCCTGTGGTTGAGTGCAAAGACTGTACATGTATATGGCAAAGTTTGGACTTGCATTTTAAAATTGTATGACCATAGATGTATAAACCCATACATCTATGGTATGACCATTATTTGTATATGGCATTTCCTGAAGTCTGGCTAATGTTGCACTTTTGCCTGTTGATTAACAATCACTATAATTCATATATATATCATATATATGTAATGATTTGTGAATTTAGTACATTACCTTGGGTATAACTCCTGACACTGAGAGAGATTATGTGGTTTGATGTTCTATTTTGATTGGATACTGGGTTCACAGCTATGCACCTGTATGTCCCTTGGTCATTTAATGTAAGGTTTCTGATGAGTAAATATCCAGATGATAAAATTCGGTAATGATCTGGAAAAAAATAAGAAACACTCAATATCAATCACAATTTATAGAAACACACTTTTGGTTGATATCCAAAATGGCCACTTGTTTCACTACCTTTAACATAATCTGGACCTGAAATGTTTTGTCACTGTCAGTTTTTCCAGCTTCCATTTGCTTCAAATTACAAGATAAACTAGTAAAAGAAGGGACCATTTAGGATATAAAAAGTTTTCAATTTTAATTATTTTCCCCCCCATGTTTTATTGTTGTCAGTTATGTTGGTGGATCAGCAAGACACTTATTACTGTGGATTCATTTATTTTTTTTAGGTACCATTTTCTGTGGATTGAAGAAAAATAGTGTATCCACGAAATGCATGAAAATTGGTATCCCACAAATAATGACGAATCCACAGTACGGAATGATTTGATACAACTAACCCGAATAATTACAGCGCCCCCTTACGGCTATTGTCCTCATCGATAGGGAGCGTAATATAACGACTGGATTATTCGGGTTATGATACAACCAGCTGAGTGGTTTGAGAGGAGAGTAAATACATGATAGATACTTGGATGACAAACAATAATTGACTGTAATAGCTCACTATCCAACTCCGCTCAGGTGTATTTCAAAAGATGCTCAACAATAATACACCTGATTTGACCAAATAATTAACATGTTTTAAGATACATTGGTCATCTGAAAAACTTTTAAATCAGTACTTATGAATTTTTCTTTTAAATTTTCCATTGATAGTTTCAAAAAGGAAGTTTTTATAACTGTTCATTAATCCTATAGAACCTGACAATCTGCACATTCTTATTCTTTCATCTTCAGAGATATAAAATAAAAATAATTAACAATAATTTACAGTTTACACAGAACACAGTATAAGTTAATCTTCAGTAAAATTAATATCCATCAGAATGAATCAAAAGAGATACAGCAGCAGAGATAAAACAAACAAGAAAACACATTAAACAGATTGCAGCTAATTACCCAATATTTAATATATCTTAATTGATAAAGTGTGCAAACATCAAAAGTGAGGCCCCAGATTGTTATAATAACTTACATCCAACTACAAAGGAGTACTGTTTACGATGACATACATCTGTGCAGGATCAATCTCACTATGCTTCATCTGAGCTTACGTAGAATTATGTACTCAAGTCCAAATGTAAACAATAAGTAAATGGGTAGGAAAAGAAACAATAATGGTTCACCAATGTCTAAATGCTTAACTACATGTTTAACTAACCACAAAATTTGGAAAAAAATTAACATTTTTTAATTCAAATTTGGAAAAAAATGTGTCTATGACAGCTCCCCCTTCCAAAAAAAATCTATCCCCAACCTCCCATGATGTAATGAGCTGATTGACTTCTGACCTGGGTGAAGCATCAGAGAGTCAAAAACTTTTGAACTGAAGGATGACATCAGACAGAGGTTTCATTAGAAGCAATGAACCTCAAAAAAATTTCACTTCAAAGAATCTCCTTTTCAAACATAAAAAACCTTGACAAAATCCAGAACACAATATCATACAATAAAGTAACAAGGATTTTAATAAATAATTAATTAATAACATTTCATAAATTGCAGACAAGTTTAAAGATAAGACATTTCCTGCCAGGTTTAGGTTTCTATGGAAACAAATTATACTTTATCATATTTTATGTCGATACATTGCAAAAATATATGTAACCTAATGATGGTTGGTAAATGAAACTGTTGGCAGTTGCCATATTGCTTAAATATGCAGCCCTACAAAGTACAGCTGTGAGAGCAACAGAAATTTATCATTTATCATTCTTAGCTTCTGTACAAGGCCACTGACTTCCGTAGTCTAGTTTTACATTGTCAAATTTACTTCATCAACCAAGAAAAAAATTCAAATTATAATCGCAAGCAGCAGTTCATCATCGTAGATAAAATACATTCTCTTAATGATCCGTTACTACATAATCTCTATTGAGTCCCATGCTCGAGAGTTTGGTGATTTAAATCAGATATATGAATGGATTTTTATTATTTCTTTTACAACTTCTAGGGAAAATGAAAAATATAGCATATGAATGGATTTTTATGTTTACTTTTTTACAACATCTTGGGGGAAAATGTGAATCTTAAACTAAATTTACGTCAAAATAAACTATTCATTTACACATATTTCATAAAGTTTAACACAATTCCAGTCATGATTTTTAAAAATTAAAATATCCTTTTGGAGCCTTTCAAAATTATGAAATAGTTCGAGGCATATTTTTATTGTCAATAAAAAGAAAATGATCAAGAATAAAACTTGTGAAATTATAAATTTATGTGTATTGTAATTATAACAATCACCTGAACATGTAAATTGATATAATTTATTACCGTTAAAGGTTTGAGATGATCTAAGACACAGAATAATGCAGAGAAGAACAATATAAAGTTTATTAGGTAAAACAATCACTGTAGTTTGACTTTTATCCGAAAGTAACATTGCATATATATCTATTTATGCCTGTTATTAGATTCAATTGTTGCAAATACTTAGTTTATAATATGAGCTCCTATATAACCTTTATTGAAGTTTCCAATTTTGGTGGGGTTCCTGTTGCTCAGTCTTTAGTTTTCTATGTTGTGTTTTGTGTACTTTTGTTTGTCTGTTGGTCTTTTTCTTTTTTAGCCATGGCATTGTCAGTTTATTTTCGAATTATGAGTTTGAATGTCCCTATGGTATCTCTCGCCTCTTTTTTCCAACTGTATAATTCAAGTTATTTATATACTTATAAATATTCAGGTTAATGGTTTCATGCAAATTTAAAATAGTTTTGATACATTAAGTGTTGTTGTATGTCAAAGGCATTTTAACTGGTGACTAAAAAGAGGGTAATTAAGGGTTTTATTTGTACAAACTTTTTGCCTATTTTTATTTCAGCGTATTTTCATCCTAAAATGTTAAAATTAGGTTTCATCTATTAAATATTAAAGCCTGAAATTTTATCATGAATCTCTATGTGCAAACACCCAACTTTTAAAACCTCTATTTTTTATTTTTTAAGAAATACCAATCTTTATCACTGGGGTGCCTGTGTAAATCAACTTAACAATTGTCTAGTGTCTCCACCCATAGAATAAGGTTAAAGAACTAAAAAATATAGCACTGTTTAAAGAAGAGATCAGCTGACTAGTGTATCCACCCATAGAATAAGGTTAAAGAACTAAAAAATATAGCACTGTTTAAAGAAAAGATCAGCTGACTAGTGTCTCCACCCATAGAATACCGATAAAGAACTAAAAAATATAGCACTGTTTAACGAAGAGATCAGCTGACTAGTGTTTCCACCCATAGAATAAGGTTAAAGAACTAAAAAATATAGCACTGTTTAAAGAAGAGATCAGTTGACTAGTGTCTCCACCCATAGAATAAGGTTAAAGAACTAAAAAATATAGCACTGTTTAAAGAAGAGATCAGTTGACTAGTGTCTCCACCCATAGAATAAGGTTAAAGAACTAAAAAATATAGCACTGTTTAAAGAAGAGATCAGTTGACTAGTGTCTCCACCCATAGAATAAGGCTAAAGAACTAAATCAAAGCACTGTAAGCGCTGTAGGCAGTTAACCAAAAACCAAGGCAAACATAATTATGAAAACTGTGGCTATGTTGCTTCATTTTTTTTAAGATTTAAAAGAACAAACATTAAACATTCATATATTGTGCATTTATGTTCATTTACTGAATTAATTATTAAGGCAAATAATTCATATTTTATCAAGGTTTTCAAAAGCAACGCATATATCAAGTATATTTTTAATGGTCATGTGTCTGCAGTGGTACAAGTTCGAAATGATTGCAGTTGTTCTAGTTGATAGTTAACGTTGGTATTAGTTGACTGTTAGTAGTTCAAGTTGACTTAGTACGAGCTTGTAATATTATGCATGGACTTGCTTCCCTGGAAAGAAAACTGAGTTTGTGTTCTACAGTGCAAAAGTTATGAGACACAAATCAGACAAATGTTTACTACTACGGGGATCAAAGGTGAGGTCTGACTGACCTGCCCATAGTAAATGTAAATGCCCCCTGCCTTCACCCCAAGTCCATGATGTCTAAGTTTGGAATAAAATGACAGGTGATTATAATAAAGTTGGTCAAACACTCTTGGGCTTGAAAGATATGTTTTCTTTAAAATGAGCCATATTAAAATGAAATTTTTTATAGAACCAGAAATTATTCAAAATATAATTAAGGTAAATTCTTTAAACCTACTCATTTTTTGCATCAATAAAATTTTATAATAAACAAGAAATAATTGTAACAGAATGCTGTTACGAAGTCTCCCAAACAAAGCTGCCATAATTATTCATTCCCATGGTCGCCTGACATTGGGCAAAGTCTAGTACACATTGATTAGGTCTAGTAAAGTGATATGCATATGTGATGCCTATGAGATTGACCTTGTATGTCATTCAAATCTGTTTGAAATGACGAACAGGAATGAATATGGTTCAGGAGTTGGTATCTCAAACTTTTACAAGTTCTTAAAACACACACAAGAGGGGATGGGGTGACCTTAGGGACTAACCCCATATTTCATTTGATTTTTTATGTTGTCCCATACATAAATATATATATGGTTTAGGGGTGGGGATCTCGACCGTTATCAAGTTTTCAAACAGGAGGGGGTGGGGTGACCCCAGTGACTTCCCCTATATTTCATTTGATTTGTTATATTGCCAAATACATGAGTATATATGGTTTAGGGGTGGGGATCTCATCTGTTTCCAAGTTATCAAACAGGAGGGGGTAGGGTGAACCTTAGGACTCTCCCTATATTTCATTTGATAAGTTCTGCTGTCCCATACATGAATATATATGGTTTAATTTAGAGGTCGGGATCTCGACTGTTTCCAAGTTCTCAAACAGGAGGGGTGGGGTGACTGCAGGGACTCCCCTATATTTCATTTGATTATATAGTCCCATACATGAGTATATATGGTTTCGGGGTGAGGATCTCGACCGTTTCCAAGTTCTC